GAGAAAGAGGAGGTCCTAAAGCTGTCATATTAATTTGCGATTTGAAATAAGACTCTAAGAAAGAACAAGGAATGGTGGAAATAGATAAGAGCTGAAGATAGGAAGGTTTCTGTTCCTACTGAAGAACACAGGATTGAAGTTTTGATGAGTATGATGACAATGAAGCCTTCAGGATGATGATAAAGAGAAGCAAGAAAGTTTACTGTATGCCAGAATGCAAAAATGCTACCATCTATGACTACTCTGTACATATGCTTAAAGTCTTCTTTCATTTAGAACACTGACAAATATCTAGCTAAATGCCTCCTCAGACTCTCTCTGCCTATAGTTACTGTAGACCGTTTAGAAGAAAATATTTGAATGATAATGGAAAGGAATTTTCAAGAATCATAAAACCAACAGAATAGAATTTATTTATTATACCAAAGAACACTTTGAAAAAGTTAGGCTGAAACTCATTCTCTATTACTTTTCTTTTCATTAAGTATCTTTCTTTTTAAAGAAGCACAAAAACAAAAGATCATTAGTCCTAGTCTCTTTTTTATTTATCACTATCACATTTAAAAATCTCATTTACAGGCATTCAAACATTGCTATCGATAACTCTGCAATGAGCTCAATATCCTATACCACTATATCTGAGGCAGAAATTCTTCGGGAGCAGAATGAAATGTAGATCACTGAAATAGAATCTCTAAAGGCAGAGTTTTGGAATACAAATTAAACTCTCCAGATAATTCTTAAGCACCCTGTGGTTTGAGAACCACTATTTTATATTATGCTCTTGGAAAGAATATGTGTTGTAGTTTGATGGGAGTCTCAAGTGTATTGATCTTTAAGACCCAGCACAGGGGTTATCTTCTTGAGGAAGAATTTTCTACTGTCTACATTGTGATCCTCTATTAAATCTTATAGTACTCTCTGCATGCTTCTCTCTTCACATTTTACTATAATACTAGACTGAAACTCTGCTATTCTGTGGGTATCTTCTTGTCTTAAGAGAGCAAGCCCTATGAGGGCAAAGGTCTTACTTAACCAATTTATCTCTGCATTTATAGTACTTAGAACAAAACCTATTCTAAGATTAATACTCTTGTAAACATATATTAAATGAAGGAAGAAAGAAATCCACATATAACACAAGACTCATAAAAACGGAGGCTTAAATGAACAGTATGATTTTTTCCACAGGGAATTTAGCTTATTCAACACTTACTGTGAGTGCCTACTATGAGCCAAGGTACATAAAGATAATAAGACAAGACATTTACTGCTATTAGGGGGGAAGAGAGACATATGTAATAAAACAGCTATAATTCCTGTTAAGTCTTAATAAAAGGAATAGAGGAAACATATATAAATGGCAATGAGAGTACAGAGGAAGACAAGAGTCTTTCCTGCCATGGGTATGGGTAAGATGTGGGCTAACAGACACAAGCTAGTCACATAATAGGGTACAAAGGAGAGATCCTATGCAATTAAAATGCCTTGGATTCCCCAAAGTGGTCAAGGTGCAGAACAAATTAATGAATGCACTTCCAGAATATAAACACACGCTCAACTGCAAAGTAGATAAGTCTGCAATCTCTAAAGTCAAAGTCATCTACTAAGTACCACATAAAAGTTCCAGTTATGTCCAGGGAAGAAAAGAATCTCAGATCTTTCTTAGTTTTCTTTTATCTTACCTCTTTCCTGAGTTGTTTTTTTCTCCTCTAGTTCTGTCATTCAATTGGAGCGGTGGAGTTACTGATGAATAGGTTTCCCTGTTTGTGTGTGTGTGCGTGCAACTGATAAAAAGGAATGCCACTTCAACATGCCGAGTAAGAGTTTTATTATAGAATAATTTACACCCAGTTTCTAGTCCCAGCTCTACCACTAACTGACTGATTTTGTGCAAGTCTGCTTAACCTCTCTATGCTACATGTCTTCATCCGTAAAATGTTCAAATATTAGTTATGTTGATATGGCTGTGAGACTCTAGCAATGTAACAAATCACTGTGCTAGATCTTAGTAAATTATAGCCATTATCGTGAACATTATTATACTTGTTGGAGGACACAGATAATTTTTTAAATTTATTTTTAAATTTTGTTTATTATCATTATTCTTTAATTTTGAACACAGAGAGAGGGGAAGGGAGAATAAGAAAACTGCTGCCAGGTCCGGGACTTGAACCGTATTCAGCCATATGGGAGTCCAGTGCCTTAACCATCACACCACCTGCTGGCCCCATAGATGATCCCTTAAAATTAACTTTAGAAAATGTTTTGCAGTGTGCTTAACCTATAGCTCAATCTTAAGTTTGGTGGGTGATCATGAGAGGACTTTAAAACATTCATGGAAAAACAGAATTAAAGTATGGATTCACTTTGGTGCCAAGTAGTTTGAAATCCATACATAGTTTTTTCATAATATGCATTTTCCCTGAACTTTTTGAAGACTCCCTCATACTGAAGGTTACCTCCAATGTAGGCCACAGATGAATTGGAGACAGTGAACAGGATAAAAAACAAGCAATGATCAATGTGAGATAATACAATGACTACAATAACTATCAATGTGAAAAATCTCTATGAACTAGTCCGCATAGGCAGGTTTCAGCAAATTAAGTTTGTGGCTCTTCTATTTGTTCCTATCCGGGTAGAGACCTTTAAAACATTTTATTAGTGACTGCTCTTCTTATTCCATCTAAAATTTACATCTTCAAATAGCCTATTTTGTAGTTTCCTTGAGAGATTGTTTTATCATTTGGTCTCCTCACTCATCTTTACCTAAAGAATACCCTTAATTCCTTGCTTCTTTATTTGTGCTATCTTACTTTGCAGTCATTGATTATGCTTCGCATTCACTTGATAAGTGAAATAAAAAAGATAATGGTACCAGGGCCAGCAGGCGGCATGATTAAGGGCATGGGATTTCCACATGGCTGACCATGGTTAAGAGCTCTGGACCTGGCAGCTTGCTTTCTGATTTTCTCTCTCTTTCCCTTGCTCTTGCTCTGTCCCTCTCTGGTCAAATTAAAAATAAATAAATAAATAAATAAATAAAGTTAAATAAAAACTAATTATTAAAAAAAAAAAGATAATGGTACCAAACAAATGATTTCACAATAGCCCTGGATATTTTTACTAGACTGGATGAAATTGCCTTACCAGGCCCTACATCTAAACATGTGCCTATTAATCAGTATTGTTTAGGTATTTTCTCATTGGTTTTCCTTTTTTTCAATTGTTTCCCAAGTTACGATTTTTGTCATCATATATAACATTATTGAGATGCATAGTAAGATAGCAGGCAAATGAATTTCAAACAAAATATGGATAGTAATGAAGATACAAGATTACAGACGAAAGCTTCTGAAAAGTTCAGATATTACACCAAACAAATTCCTCACTAATTTGAAATACACTTTGTTTCTTGGGCAGTAATAACTATATTTTACAGGTCATTTGGGAGAAAAATAAAGCCTGTAATTCCAGGCTCATGAGTGCCCATAAATGCCAGTGAGCTGCCACATTTGGATGATCTCATTTTATGATAAAACTTAGGGGATTTGAACAGAACAATAAGAAAGTAGGTATCTTTCTTATCTTTCTCATGTTACTGAGCCCACACCTGCTGCCCACCAGTGGATCCTTATTTGCTATAATTACTGAGACATAAGATTTTTGCCTTTAAGCTTTCATGTAAATTAAAGCACAGAAAAAAAGCAGGAGTACCATCCTGTACGTTAGATTCAATGGAGTGAAGTATGTCTCTTGAGCCCTATTTAATCCTCTTCTAAAAGAATAGATGATTGTGGGGGAGTAATTACTCTAAGTTGTGTCAATCCACAGGAAAATAAGATGTATATGTGGCTGTATGTGAAGGATGGCAGCAAAGAGCACCCCAAACCAAATGTCACACCTAGTAAATACATCGAGGAGAAAAATAATCCATAACCTTGAGAAATGTTTTCTGTTTGGTTATCTGAAAAAGTCAGGGCACCTTCACCGTCAATAAATACTACACATACATGTCTACGTGTTATGTCTGTATACACACGTCCATATACACAGACACAACACATAGGTAATTTATAATCTTTGAGGATTGGGCTGCTGGGGCAGAGGTCTGGTCCTCCCTAAAACCTCTAAAAACTGTTGAATAGTTCTGGCCATATAGGATTTGATACCTAAAGCAGAAAAATTCCAAAGGATATATCAAGTTACACATATAATTCTGGGCATAGTCTGAAGAAAGGTAGATTTGATAAATAACAATTAGGTCTTTTTCTCATGAAAGGCAAAAGCACCAAGCTGGTCTTATTAATGTGTTTGATTAAGCTTTGTTACAGCTACAAATAAGACTGGTAACTTTAATTAGGAAGATACCAGCCATTAGCAATGCAGTTGGTTGCTCCAAAGCCAGAAGACTTGCAGCATCAAGTGCCCCAGTTCAATTTCTCAATAAAATCGACATCCCTGTTCCATCTTATTCCATATTGTCCCTGAAAACACTTAAATGAAATACTTAGCCATCTGATTCATGTTCTAACTCTATAATCCAACTTATTTATAAAAAGTCCTAGGAAAGCTCCTTGATGTAACAATAAGGATGATTTTTTGCCTTTAATGCAAGTCTATAACATACATTCTTAACCTCATGTCACCCACTATTTGTATTTTTTCTTATGAATGCATAGAGCTGCCATTTATTTAAACTTTAAAAATATAGGAGTTCATAGTCTTTTTGGATTTCTTTTAAGGCCTTTCAGTACAGCCAAGCTGAAGTAATATTATCTATGCATGGTTTTGTTATTATGGCAATAACAAGTTCTAGCGTACAATAATATATAGTATTTAGTCGGGACTAGGAACAAGGATAGACTGCTTTTTAGTAAATAGTATGCTTTTGTCTAGTTTAACTAGAAATGAGAAAGAGAAAAAACATCTTTCATATATAAAAAACATATTCTATTTAATAAAGTATAAGCATAAAATTATATAATAGGTAAGAAGCAAAATTAAAAAGAAAACAGCTTATAATATTCCTGATCAGAGTTCCTACATATAAAAACAATAAAGGAAAGTGCCTTGCCATTTACAAAAATTAGTACATTATACAACTTTTATATACTTCAGAGGAAATAAAGATCTCGTGACACTGTTCTGAGGAATCTTTACATTTATAAAAATTGAAGGCCTAATTTTGCAAATACAACTTTCAAAGCCGTATGAGCAAATTTAACTTACATGAAAGGCACAAGATGACATCACGTTGAAGAACGTTATGTGTCAATTTCAAAAAAAATCTAGTCACAAGTCACTAGAAACTTCATAAGGAATCTCAGAACGGTTTCAAACATGATGTTCTGATTCAAACTGAGAACTGAATAGTCTTTATACCAGAAGTATAAATTGAAGTAAGAGAGAAGACCGAGAGTGAGAAGTTTCTTATTTTGACTGCTACCTGCTTTACGCAGTGTTGGTTACTAACTTCTCAGAGCAGATAGTTAAAATTCTCTTTAACTTGAATGTTTTTTTTTAAGAGCTTATGTATATGTCTTTTCAGTTTGTAAAAAAATGAATTTTCATGTTACTACAATTTTAGAGTCAATCACTGAAAGAAATTTTAAAGAAAGTCCTGCTCTATTAGCTTCCTACATTGGAATACAAGAATACAGGAAGTGCTTTCAACAGAAAGTTACATAGTTCTACAGTACAACCTGTCTAAAAGACTTGCAAGGGACCAGTACAGTGACTTGGTCTCTTTGGATCAGGCAAAAAGCAGAGGAAAATGAAGAAATGAACTTTTTAAAAAATAACGTATTTTAAAAATCCTTTTATGAAAATGAATATTTGCGTGCACTTTAGTGCTAGTGAGAAGAACAGAGGCACAATGAAACGAGGTGCACACACAGAACACATCCAAAATGAAACAATTTCCAGTGTGATTGAAACCCTTCCCCACCATTAGATGACTGGTAACGGAGTTGGACCACCACTATTTCATGTTAAAGAGCATTACAAACACCAGAGACGGGCCCGTCAAAGTGTGTTTTGTGGGTAGTATGTGATATTCAGAGTGTTGCAACTAAAATTCTGATGTTCAACATCACTTGTAATTTTGATTTTTCATGAAATTACTGGCTCTTTTGCTAAAGTAAAATGAACTTGAAATCAAAAGTATATGATTAAAGCTCTGTAAGACTGTTAGTTGAACAAAGATGATGTATGTTTGTCAGTTTCCCGAATAAGGTCTACTAGAAATACACCTTTTCTTCATTTATGTCAGTATTAGGTGTTCTTTCCATATCATTTAAAGCATTTTGGTAGACTTGAATACGTTTCTTCAAAGAACAGCTCTTCTAATGGTGACTAGGTAAAAACAGTATGTGGTAATCAGAAATAATGCTGCCTTGCATTGCAACTGCTCGTGTAGCCTGTCAATCACGACTCTAGTAACGCATGCCATCGACATACTTGTTGTCCTTTCGACTCTCTCATTTCAGTCCAGTGATTGAGCTCCTCTTCGCCAGAGCTGTTCAGACCTAAAGAAATCCAGCCTATCATCTCTTTTCTTTTCATGCTGCGTTTGTTGTATACAGACAGTATAAGTGTCACATCAGAAAGCTGAAATAGGGCCACTTGAAAAACAAAAGTTTCCTTGTACACTGGATTTGGCTGCCCTCTGCGGATGGATGTCTTGCATTTGGACATCTCTTGACCCATGGAATTCAGTAGCGTTAATTTAACATATGTATCTAAAGAAGAGACAACAACATGGCACAGATATCATTTGAAACTGACTTGAAACAACTTTCTTGCAAAACAGGCCGAGAAGACTAAGCATTTGTACTTTATAAGGATATGGTGTATACCATGTTTAAAGGAAAGTCAACCAATTCCATTTTGATTAGATGCTTATCAAATGTGACATACAAAGAATGTTAAGTAGGCCAAAAATATTTTGGGGGTAATAACATCTTAACCTCACTATTTCTACTTAATAGTTAGAATTTAAAGGTATACCTCATAATCCTTCCTCCACCCTCCCACACCCATCCGTGACCTCCCATTACCACCCCTTCCCATTACCATCCCCATTTAGCTTCACTAAGCAGGACATCATAGCATTAATAAACACTTAGCAAGCTCAGTTAGCCACGACACTAAAGCATTCCACTGTGTTTTCAGAGAATAAGAATAAACAAACAAATAGAAATGAAGGCAAATGGTGAAGAGGAAAAGAGGAAGACAAGAATGCAAAGATGACATCAAAACAGCGTAGGATGAAATGTCAAAAAAATCTCTGCATGGATGTGGTTTTTAAATATACTTAAAAAAGCATTTAATGGCCAAAATAAAGCCAAATGTATTCAGAGTTCAAAGTTTAGCAAATCAAGTAAAATTTTTTCCTGGTTTCATGCAAGAGTATATTGAATATGCTTTCTTTGGTAGTTAAAATAAATACTGAAGAATTTCCTTTGGGCACAATCTGTTTTTTATTTTTTATTTTTTGCTATAGGGTGTGTGCAGCCGCCAGAGACACAGAGAGATACAGAGTGAGAGAAAGTGAGAAATCACCCCCCAGAGGGAATGGCCACACCGCAGTCCCTTCTCCTCCATTCTCCTCTTAAGATTTTGGGCACACGCACACACGCCCAGTGTGTTTCAAGTCTCTGGGTCTGGGACTCAAATCGTGGTCAGCCATGTGGGAGTCCAGAGCTTCAACCATTATGCCAACCTGCTGGCTCCTCTTTTTGGCACAATTTTAATGTAAAATTTTAGGTATGAAATCTTAACCATGTTCATGAATTATTAAAAAAAAAACTGATGTGATGTTTCATGTACAAAGTGAAACAGAATAGTTAATTGCCTGATTATTTAGTAGGTAAATCCTCTGTTTAAAAGATTGTGTTTTTAAGTTCTTTAGACTCATGCAAATGATCTTCAGCATGTTGATCCATCATGTGTACTTCATATCAAAATTTCAATTAATTTGAAATAAAATTGCAATAGTTCTAGTGAAATATCTATTACTGTTGGATTCAAAATATAAATGAATGAAAAATAAAAAGTTTTATTTAGAAAAGTTTTGCTTATTGTATAGGTACTCTGAATACCATCATCCATAATCAGAGATAAATTCTAAGTTAGTTTTATTTAAAGTACCACAGATAATAAATGTACATTTTTTCAAAAACCAACATGGTGGACAGCTTCACTGCTGGCAAGTTTTAGGGTATTTTGTTTTTGCATGAAAAGACAACATCCAATTAGCCTCTACAGGAACTCACCTCGGATTATATAAACCTGTCCACCTATCAAGTGTTTTAGACAACAGAACAGTCCATCTGACAACAGGGGGTGGAAAGCAGTAAAAGAAATAATGACCAGATGTCAATCGTTGGGTGGAAGAGGGTCAAAGGTTAGAATTAAAGAGGAAACACTGTTCACTGGAGTGGAAGAACACAAAACTTTAGCATTTTAATTCAGGTAGCGGGTTGAACAAAAGGGTTGTTGGGTAAATTCATGGTATGAGAATTTTAAAGATCATTGTGTAATCTTAAGCGAAAATTACACTGTTTTAAAGGGGGACATCTTTAATCCTTTTGGTCTAAAGCACATTGAACATAGAATCATGCAAATTGTCAGAATAAAAAAGACTAAATAAAAGTCATTATAGGATCATTATTACTATTATGCTAAATTTTAATTTTATCCATGCTACATTTAGTATTTCAAGTACTTTCATTATTCCCAATGAAATGTAAAATTAAGTTATACAAAATAAACTAGAGTTCTCAAAATTTTTGTTACTAAATATTGCTATTTCTTTAGTTAAAATTTGGGAATATTCAGCCTATAACAGTTCAAAGCTTAGAATGTAGGTATATATGAAAGGCTGCAATCTTATATAAAATATATGATTTAGGACAAACTGATAAAACTGTCTTTTTAACTTTACAAATACTCCACTTTAATTTTTTTTTGAGAGAGATTTTTGCTATAGGGAGTTTGTGCATGCTGGAGAGACAGGGAGAGACAGAGAGGCAGAAAGCGAGAAATCGCCCCACACGGGGGATGGGCACACACCACAATCCCTTCTCCTCTTGGGATTTTGGGCACATATGCACATGTACCCAGCATGAGTTTTAAGCCACCATGTCCAGGTCTTGAACCATGGTCGACTATGTGGGAGTCCAGTGATGTAATCATTATGCCATCTGCTGGTCCCCATATAATTATTTTTAATATTGATTTTTAATATTGATTTATTTTACTTCTAGTTACCCCCCAAGGGTCTAATCTTAAAATAATGGCAATTGCTATCACCTATCTTTCCCTTGAGCGATCTATACTGTGGATGCGAACTTTTCTTACACTGTTCCTTATTCACCCCTGCATTCCTTGACTTTAGTTCTGATTCATGTTCTTCTGATTCTATCAGAATAGCTACAGTAAGGATAGAAACGTTTTCATTTCATTCTTCGAGTTTTGAGAATCTCCAGTTAAATATTTCTCAAAAAAAATTATTGAACTATTAGCTAAGTGTGAGTAGGAAACTGATAGAGTGTGGCTCCACGTGGTCTCAGACGGTGCTTCGTTTATCTGGTATCCTGTTAAATCTTTCTGGATCTCCATGTTTTAAGGCAGGTGTGTACTCTCATATCTGTCACAAGCCTCACCATACTATTTTGCACCTACAAATTTTACTCATTTAAGTATTTGAGCTATCACTCTAAGTGTGTATTAATAAAGATAATCAATGGGTACAGCAGATGGTATAATGGCTATGTCACTGGACTCCCATGTGGTTCAAGTCCCAGACCTAGCGGCTTAAACTCATGCCAGGCATGTGTGTGTGCGTGCCCGAGATCCCAAAAGGAGAATGGAGGAGAAGGGATTGCAGCATGGCCCTCCTCTCTGGGGGGTGATTTCTTGCTTTCTGTCTCTCTGTCTCTGTCTTTCTGACGCACCCCATAGCAAAAACCTCCTCCCTCCCCCCAAAAAAGATAAGCAAGTCACACTTCCAAATATGTTTTTTTAGTGGCTACATCTTGCTTTCCACTAAACTTTTCCTTCTGAAATGAGAAAGTGGACAATAGTAATTTCATCCTTCTTTCATGTATCTTTATCTAATTTGAGCCTCACAATTATCCTGTGAGAGACAGGATCTTAATTTTACACATAAAGAAACAGACTTCAGGGAGTTAGGTCATTTGTCCAAGGGTAGAAATACAAATATAACTTTAGCCTTCAGATTTCTAATTCAGGGTAGACACATTTCATGAAATACATAAGAAGCGAGCTTTCTAATATGACCAAATGTATTTTTATGATTTTTTACCTCCACTGAACAAAGACTTTTTATGACATTTAGAAGTAAAGTTAATTTAATTCAAAGGTAGAAGAAGTTCCCCTCCTTTAACAATGACTTGGTACGTGGAGTAAAAGCCTGCATTAAGCAAGTCTGTGAAGTTTTTAAGCAATTTTAAGGTGACATTATTATTCTGAATTTCCTCTCAAATGTCTAGTTTAGGGCATGAACAGCTTTTATTTTAGAGAAGTATAACAAAGCTGTTATTTTACCTCTCAGAAGTATCCACACACAGTTTGGGAGGTACATCGGGTGACAATTTCTCTGTGCTCCATGGCCTAGTCCCCCAACAGCTGGGGGCAAGGGCGGAGTGAGAGGTGCGTGGATAGGACAGAGGTACGCCATTCATCTTTCCTGTCCCCACACCGAGGGTAAATAGCCAACTATTCCTTATGCTTTTGGTCCATGTAAGAAAACACTGTGCTGGTAGTATGATTTGTAGTTTTAAAGGAGAAAAAAGGTAAAGAAACAGTTTCTTCTTAAATTGATAAAAGGGAAAGGGGGAAAAATACAGAAGTAAATACATTAATTCATAGTACTACATGCAGATTGAAAACACATTAAGCTTCACTTAATAACAACAACTGTATGCATTCCTATTCATGTTTGTGAATATTATTCACTTTTTTAAGACTCTGTAACTTTTTTTGGCATTAATAGATCATGACTACGATCAGGGTAATTTATTCGGCAGATACTATAAAAAATTAAAAGTTCTGTCACCTTACAATTAATATTTTGAATTTCAAATTTTTCTACTTCCCAAATGGCTGGAAATAGAAAACATGAAACAGATTAGCTGATGATCATACCATTTCATTTTGATTGGTTAAGACTAAGTGATAGGACTGACGTTCCTAATGCTGAGAGTCCCATAAGTGCAGAAAACATTAGAATTAAAAAAATTGTTTTTCACTCACTGGGTGGTCTGTTTGCAGCCAAGTTTTTGAAGTGGCTGCCTTTTATCACTTCTGCTGATAGTCTTCCAGTTGTGGCATTGTAAAGCAGGCCAATGAGAATTTCTGGAACTGAGCCGTGTTCAAGAGACTGACATGAGGATGCGCTTTCACTACAGGACACTTCTGACATGCTCATTTGGGAGTCACAGCCCTGTAATCAAAAATGGAATTTTTATAGTATTTCACAAAAGAGATTTATTAAGAGATATATTGTTAATGCTGGGTTTATTGGAGTTAGGCAGGCAAATCATAACAAAGACAAGAACTGCAAGCCAAATCCCTCAAACATCCTGTTAGAAATTTTGTTCTTATTTTAGTCTCTGGATTGCTTTTCATTATACAGAAGTCAAAGAAGTACTAGGAGATGAGGAGGTTTCTTAAATCACTGCATACTTACATACAAACCAGAGAAGATAAATCTCCTAAGCTTACAGATGCTAATGAATCTATTTACTGAATATGGAAAAATATTTAAAAACTTATCAATCTTAAATGACTGACATAGACTTGATCTCACTCATATTAAATATTCTAAATGAGCCTTTAAAGACAAAGTCTGGGACCGCTTTTATTAAATAAACAATATCATCTTCTCTTTATAAGCCAGTATCTGAAACACAGAGATGCAAAAAAGTTGAAGAGGATGGAAAAAACTTATCATGCAAATAATGACCAAAAGAAAGTTATGTCACTACATTAGCACCAGTCAGGATTGGCTTTAAGGCAATAACCATTGCTAGAGATAAAGAAGTACATTTAATAATGGCAAAGCATTCAATTTACCAAGAAGATAAAATAATTTGAAGTTTGCATGCATTTAGTAACATGGGCACAAAATAGAGGAAGTCAAGATGGTCAGATCTATAAAGGGAAAAAGAAAAACCCCAAATCAGTGAGGATGTTAGCATCCTTCTCTCAGTAATGATGAAATGGGCAAACAAATACAAGGGAGGTAAAGAAGATCTGACTATCGCTGTAAGCAAAATGGATCTAGTGGTCACAGGCAGAGCACCACATCCAACAACTACAGAACATACGTTTCCCCAAGCAAAAGTAATAGAATTTTTATAAAAACAAAGGAAGTAACAAGAATTTCCAAATGATGAAAGTTATTCATGCTTTTAGATTAACTAGAAAGTCAAACTATTTTCTATTGAAAAATAAAATACCTGTAGGTTTAGAAATTAAGGATACACTTCTGAATAACCTGTAGGTAACTAAATGCTAATGAAAATAAGTTACTTGAAAAGACTAATAAAAATTAATACACTTCCAAAGTCCAACTAAGAAAAAAAGAGAGAAGGTATAAATAACAATTATCAGGAGTGAATAAGGAGACATCACTACATATTCTACAGATCATGAAAAGAAAAGAGGATGATATGAACCACTTTCTTCTAACAAATCTAAAATTTAGATGAGAGGGATATATTCCCACAAAACTACAACCAATCAAAAGGGACACTAGAAGAAATGGAATATCTGAAGAGTCTTATTGAAGAAATTAAATTTGTAATTAAAAACCTTCTCAAATAAACATACATCAAACAAATGAAAAATTAAAAATGTAGCCCAGATGGCTTCCCTAGTGAATTCTAATAATGTTAATCTTATACGAACCCTTCCAGACAACAGAGAAACAGGAAACATTCAACTTCTTATAAGAATCCAACAAAACATTAAAAATAGAACTTAATAAGAAAATTGCAAAAAAAAAATTATAGGCTTTTCTCATTCATAAACCTAGATTTGAAATTCCTAAATAAACTATTAGTAAACTAAATCTAGCAATATGCAGCATCAGACTTAATAGAAAAACATTTTAATGTTTCCCCTTTGAAAACCATCAGCTTTCATCACTTACAGGCAACACCATAGTGGTGATCCCAGCCAATGAAGGTCCTAACTTTATTCAAGGCAATAAAAAAAAGTCAAAAGTATAATTATTTGAAATGGAAGTTGGTAAAACTGCCCTTAAGTGCAGATTATATAATTATGTACCCAGCATCTCTCAAAAAACTACAGAAGAATTGTAGTTGCATACAAAGTAAAATTAAAAAATTCATCATTGCTATATATCAACAAAAATCTGAAAATAAAATGTATTATAAATAATAAGCTGGCTCTGTGGCCTGGTGGTTATACTACTATTCCCTATGAAATAACTATGTAATTTAAAATGTTTCACAATGTTTTATACCAATTTTGAAGCTTAAACCTACTTTTGGCTATTTCAGTAATGAAGTAGAATTTAATACATACTTAGAAACTAAATTAACTACTGAGACTAATATTCAGAAGGATAGTCTCATATTTTCAAATGTAACTATAAATCACAGAGCAGAATGCCAAAAGGAATATACATTTTATATTCCTAAAGCTTGGGTACACAAAACACATAGTTGGGTATGTTTTCATGACAGTTGGAGGAGAAAACATAATTTTAGTAGGTTTCACTTAGGATATATCATCACTTAGCAAAATAGTGTCAAAAACATGCGTGAGCACATTTGGTGCACTTGTTACATGAGGCCATTATACCAGCAGCATCTGTTAGAATATTATGAAATACATTTTTTCATAACACAGTATTTTTCACATTAAACTACTGTCAGATAACAAGATGTGAACCTAATAGCTGCTTATCAACACAGAGGCCATATTGCAACTTTTGAGCAACAAAGTGATACCCAAAGAAAATGATGAAAAAGGTCTTTCTTGCTCATAAGGAAAACAACCAACTTCTCTCCCCACTTTACTGCTGTGAAAATTCTTATCTCCAAGTGCAATGGAAAAGCAAGAGCATTAAGATCCTTGGGGAAATCACATTCTATTTTAGGAAGAAAATAGAATGCAATATACTAGTGTTTATTTTAATTAAAAAAAAAATTGCCAGAGGATGCGTGTGCTCTCCAGAAAGAGACAGAAAGACAGGAGAAAAAGAAAGAGGGAGAAGACACCCTCCCCAGTAAGGCATGGTCACCCTGCAATCCCTTCTGAATTTCTCCATCCCTTTGGTATTTTGTGCACACATGCACACACACCCAGTGTATTTTTCAAGCCACTGGGTCCAGAATTTGAAATACATGGTCAGCTATGTGGGATCCATCTGCCTTTATCACTAGGACATAGGACTGGCCCTATCATAACGTTTAAATAACAGAAAAAGCTATTTTAACAGAGTTCATTCTGCACTTAGGCCTTAGAAAAAGTGCTGAGCTCGGGGGGACAGCAGGTGGTGTGGTGGTTAAGGGCACTGGACTCCCACATGTTTGACCATGGTTTGAGTCCTGGACCTGGCAGCTTGCTTCCTCTCCTCCCCCGGGGTCAAATTAAAAAATAAAAATAAATAAATAAAGTTAAATAAAATAAATCTTTAAAAAAAAAAAAAGGAAAAGAAGTGCTGAGCTGGCAGCCTCTTCACTGCCATCAGTGTGACTGTCCATCTGAGACCGGATGTGGCAGTTCAAGGTAAGGATGCGACACAGCAAAAGCAGCCTAGAGTAATTACATAAACAGAATTATCTGTAGTTCCAAACAAATTCAATATAAATACTCTACGTTCAAGTGGCATCCTCCCTCTGACTCTTCCTCAGGGCATGCAGCTCCTCGCCAGGTACATGCAGGAATCTCTCCTTGTTCTCTGGCAGATCCCATGATTAATTTCTGAGTAGGATGTGCATGGGTGGCAGTAGCTACAGGTGATTAACCCAAAGTCAAATGAATTGCAATCATAACTACTTAAAGGAATAGTCCCACAGGCTCCCCAAAGTAAAACTTCTTCCTATCTTGCATATTTTCTTTTTAATACTTCCCTTCCTTCCCCCTGAGTCTTCTGCCCCAGGGTGAAGGATTATAAGCAATTCTGCTAGAGCAGAGAAGAATCTATTTAGTTTTCCAGAGAAACGAATAAGCTCTACATAATGTTTACCATAACCGAATTAATGCTAACTGTGGCCATTACATGTCCTTAAATGATGTTGAAATGCTAAAATTAGGTGGAAACTTGTAAAATTAAGAACACAAGAGAGCGCATATTAAGTAGCATAATGAGCTTTTTTAGTAAAACCGAACTGATTCCAGCTTACTCATACCTACATAGACTTGGTATTTTTAAGGTGAAACTGTTGAACTATACAAGAATTACTGTAAATCTGAATAGTTTCTGGTGAACTTATTCTTATTACTGGTAAAAGGTAGTGTTTGATTTTTACTTTTATTTATATACAAAATGCTTCCATTATACTGCTCAGCAGATGGGGCGATGAGGGCACTGAAGGTGCTCCAGTATAAAACCAGAGAGTCACCTGCTGCCAAGTTGTAGCTGCCACTCCTGTAAAACGCGTCTCCAGCAGCTCTCCTCAGGGCCTTTTCCTAGCCCCAGGGAACTAGTAAGGAGAAATAATCAGAGGCAAATTCAGGAGAGAGAAAACAAGAGCGGTGTAACTGCTCCAGATCCCAGCCCTGTCCCCTGCCACCCTCCCACCAGGCAAAAACAGTGCAAAGGAGAGCTGGCCAGTACCTCAGATAGTGACTCAGGGTAGCCTACTGGGGTGAGCAGTGGAGGGGTGGTTGGTTTAAATTTCAAAGTGATGTTAAAAGTCAGTCTGCCTGAAACAGTAAGGTTTATTAGGATATTTTTGATTGCAAGTGACAGAACATACAACTTTAACTAGCTTAAGCAACACAAGGGAGTTGACTAGTTTAGCACAACAGTTTGTACAGGGGCAGCTTCTGGCACTCACTGATCCAGGCCTCAACCCATGTCACTAGGAACTAATTTTTATCTATTTCTCAGGTTTGTTTCTCAAATTTTCACTTCATTTTCAGACAGACTCCCCCCACAAAAATGCCAGCAGCTCTGAGTGCCATGGGGAAAGAAGACAACTTCCTGATTACACAAACCCAAACTCCAGAACTGGTTATTCAGGGCCCATGAGATTTCATTTAGGGCTTTGGAATAAACTCTGCTTCTTCTGAAGTACAGGGCCAAGCTGGTTCTCCAAGCAAAATTTAGGTATTGTGGCCGTAAGGAAAGGATTCGGCTGCTCGGCAGAAAAACGATGTCAATCACAGAGCCCATTCAACTGAGCTGTTTCCCCCCATACACCCCCGTTTTCCTGATTGGCCTTCAGTGAGGACTGTTAACCA